CATAGATATAGAGGCAGTAGAGTTCGTATCACTGAAACCACCAAAGACAAGGCCTGCCTTTTTCATTTCCCTTCACTGGTCTTCCATTGCTGTTTTCTCCACCCTTCTTTCATCCCCTCTAAACCACAAATTCTTCAAGGAAACTCGCATCGATGAACATACCATTTGGGTTGAAAAGACTAGTAACCTCAAAGGCACCCTTGCAAAGATTGCAAAGCTGGATAATAACGACGGTCTTACCAAACTTCTGATAACCATTGGTGAGGAAAGGATAGGCTGGAAAGCTTTTTATAGACTTCTCCACGAACCCCCCAAACAAAACAACACTTCAATACTACACCAACCACCCCTGGACAACCTAGCTCATCCATGGCTTTTGGCCCCTTGACCTATCGCGATGCCATTTAAAAAGGAAAACAGAAAGTTAACCCACTACCTATTCCACCTTCGGTACAGCAGCACAGAAGGAACCCGCAGCCAAACAACATGGCTGTTTATGAGGAAGCAGACTTACAGCTGGAATCCTCCATTGTAGTCATCAGGCGTTTCTTCCACGACGATTGGTTTAAGATAACTAGAGCCCTTCAAACACATATTAGCACTCTTTGTACTTTTAACCCTTTCACTGCTGACAAGGCCCTCCTTCGGTGTGAGAACAGAGAACAAGGAAACATTATATGTCAGTTAACGGATTGGCATCAAGTAGGCGACACCCAGCTGAAATTCTTGGCATGGAACGAGCTCGACCCATCCCATCCCCCCTATAGTCCCATCATAGGGTGGTTGGATAAAAATTCGCAACCTTCCTTTGGATCTTTGGGATAAAAAGACTCTGAGTTTCATTAGGGGATTCCTGTGGAGGCTACTTGGAAACAGCTAAGAAGACTCTATCCAGACTTGATTTGCTTCAGGCGACAATTAGGATAAAATCCAATCCTTTTGGTTTTATCCCCGGAGAAATATGGATTACAACCGCCTTTTCCACACAACTGAAGGTGCTTATTGACCCTTTCCATGAGGTCGAACAATACCTGGGATTTTCAGCCAGAATACATGGAGCTTTGCCGATCAGAATGTCCTCCGATCATCCTTCTGGGATGGGCACTGATGTCCTTCTAGGATTGTGCCCAAAATTTTCTATTTTGGAGAAAGACAGCAGACCTACCTCGGAAAGTCGCCTTGTTTTCACCTCACCTCGTACAAGCCCTGACACGCATGAACCTCAAAGTCCATCTTTATCACCTTTTGACAGCAATCCCTTGAGCCTAGTGCCGTTGACTGACACCCCTGCAACTTTTGATTTCCATCCTGCTGACATACGACATCCTCAAAGTCCTATCACTTCTGTACCTCTGCATATCACAGGCACCTCTCTTTCCTCGACTGCCACCCTTGCTCTACACACTCAACCTCCCCCGCTTTCACTTTACCCCTACCCAACACCTACTCTGACCCCCTTCCCCCCCAAAATCCTCTTCCTCACCCTACCCTCCTCCTTGAGGACCCAAAATTAGCCGTTAATATCGCTTAAAAAGAAACCTACCTTGCTTTGGGCACAAAACACTCCACCAACCCCCCTGAACTTCTCTCAGACTCCGACCAATGTATCTTTAGCCCCTACCCGCTCTCTATCGAACCCCCTTCCCCAACTTTCTCCTCTCATCTGATCGGGGGCCCTGCTCCTCACCCATTTGCATCGGGCGTTTCACACACATCCCTCTTTCCCTTTGATCCTGCTGTTCACCCTTCATCCTACCTACAGGTGGTAGTTCCATGGCTCGACACTATGGGCATGGGCATTTTCCCCATCCCCACAAACTCTCAAAAAAGGCTACATCCACCCAGAAGGAATTCGGGGGAATCAGGGAGCTCGCGGGTCTTACTTCCTCCATCAACTACGACAAGCACAAACCAAAACAAGGCGGGTCTTTCTCTGTTAAATGATTTTCCTCTCCTGTAATGTTAGGGGTCTTGGCTCCTGGAACAAGAAAGCTCTGATAAAGACTCTCATCAATAAGCAAAATCCCACCATCGTTATCCTCCAAGAAACCAAACTTGAAGTGGTTGATCATCTGACTATTAAATCATTATGGAGCTCTCGGGACATTGGCTGGACAACCCTAGATGCATCAGGCACATAGGGGGTATCCTTATCATGTGGAATGATCCTTCTTTTCAGGTATCTGATGTTACTTTGGGGCTCTACACATTATCCATTTTTCTCACCCTTCTAGATGGCTCCAATTTCTGGCTAACAGGTGTTTATGGCCTATCAACCTCCGAGGACAACCTCCGAGGACAAGCCAGCTTTCTGGAAAGAGTTGACCGACCTCTCCTTCCTCTACACTGATTTCTAGCTTCTTGGGGGAGATTTCAACTCTGTAAGATAGTCACATGAGAAATCAACCTACCACAGACCTACCAGAAATATGCACCAATTCAACTCCTTCATCGAACAAGCTGCTCTACAAAATCTCCCTCTGACAAACGGTCTTTTTACATGGTCGAATTTTAGGGACCCCCTACTCTCACATTGATTGAAAAATTTTTAGCTACTAATGATTTTCTTTTGAAATTCCAGAATGCATATGTCAAAAGGCTCAATCGACCAACTTCAGATCACTATCCTCTTCACCTTTCTTTCGACATGTCTAGATGGGGCCCCTCTCCTTTCTGGTTTGAAAATGCATGGTTGCAACATCACTCCTTCCCTCCACTGATTGAATATTGCTGGAAAAACATCCCTCTCAGAGGCTGGCCAGGCCATGGCTTCATTATGAAATTTAAGGGGTTGAAAACAGTGATCAAAACATGGAGCAACTCTACTTTTGGAAGCATCACACAACAAAAAAACCAGCTAACAACAGAGATAGGCATTCTGGATAATCTAGAAGAGGAAGGGCTCCTAAGCACAATACAACATACCCAGCGGAAATCTATTAAGACTCGTCTCCTAGAAGTGGTGGCAATGGAAGAAACTCTTTGACGTCAGCGTTGTAAATCCAAATGGCTTCACGAAGGTGATATCAATACATCTTTCTTCCATTGCGTTGTGGCTTTGAAGAGGCGGAAGAGCACCATTACTGAAATTCTCTCCTCAGATGGTTCTAGCCTCATTGAAGAGAAGGACATCGAGAAAGAATTTCTCTCTTTTTTTGACAGGTTATACTCCAAGAAATATAGACAGAGATTTCTCCCACATCCCATGGATTGGAGCCCCATATCTCATCATCAAAGCATAGAGATTGAGCAACCATTCACTGAAGAGGAGATTTGGCATGTGATCAAAGAGTTAGGCACAAACAAATCTCCTGGACTGGATGACTTCACTGCTGAATTCTACAAAAAATTTCGGAACATTCTCAAGGGCGATATTATGAGAGTGTTCTAAGACTTTTTTAAGAATGAGATTATTAATGCAAGCCTCAATGAAACCTACATATGCCTCATTCCCAAGAAGCTTGATACTAAACAGGTAGGGGATTATCTGCCTATAAGCCTCATTTCATGCCTCTACAAGATTATTGCTAGGGTCCTTTCTGAAAGATTAAAACGACTGCTGCCACACACAATCACAAATGTGCAATCTGCCTTTGTGGCTGGGAGACAAATTCTCGATGCATCTTTGATTGCCAATGAGCTCATTGAAGTTTGGGAGAGACGCCAAAAGAAAGGAGTGGTAGTGAAGCTGGACATTGAAAAAGCCTTCGGTAGTGTAGATTGGGAATTTCTTGATGCTGTCCTAGAGGCTAAAAGGTTTGGAACTACTTGGAGAAAATGGATTCAAGGTTGTGTATCTTCAGCAAACTTCTCCATTATAATCAATGGTTGTCTGAGAGGAAAAATCATCGCTTCTAGAGGCTTTCGGCAAGGTGACCCTTTATCACCCTTTCTCTTTATTTTGATTGCCGATGTGTTCAGTCGTCTTATGTCACAATCAGCTCACCACAACCTCATAAAGGGGTTTGACCTGGGCAACAACTTCTTGAACATACACCATCTACAGTTTGCGGACGACACTATCATTTTCTCCACATATGAAGACGCCGCCCTCAATAATTTGTTCAACATCAACCGATTTTTCAAAGAGGCATCTGGGCTTAAAATCAACCACCAAAAATCAGAAATTCTGGGAATTAATCTATCCGGCAGTGAGCTTGCAGCCCTAGTGTCACAATCGCACCTTTTCAAAGCAGCTCGAGCGATTGTGCGGCACTTGCTCTAGCTCAAACGAGCAAGTCAGCCGGGAAAAACTGTAAGTTGTGGACAATCTCGGTCGTGGGTCTAGCCTCCGCTCACGTTTTAGGAGAAAATTGGTTTTAGAAAACGTGAGAGAGAAAAATAGTTGAAAACATCTTTAAAACAARCATTGTAGACATTGGATGCAAGAAAGCTTTGATTGCAAGAAAGTATACAACACTTGGTCGGAGGGAGGTTTGATGACTACTTGGTCCCCCCTAAGGTACATTATAAGGCATTTTTGGTGTGGCAGGTGTAGACGTCCTAAGTGGCGAGGAGTCACTCGGTGGCCTACAGGGCCCGTGTGAACTCCGATTGGCTTGAAATTTGGCGTGCTTACATATCTTACTAATACACACCTAGTTCCAAAGCCGCTCGGCCAAAWTCCACCTACAACCCCAAAAACCCGATACAAGAAAATTACACTAGAAAGCTTTAAAGACATGAAAGGAAAGCGAGTGGTGAGGATGGTTTGGACATGCGGCCATGGGTAACACACCTTGGACAAGCATGCCCACAACACCTAGCATCCAGGTTCAATTGCAAAGAGGGATCTTGGCCTACTCTTTATCTCAGTCTGCCTTTACACGGTAAGCCAAAATCCCTCACCTTTTGGGACCCAATGGTTGAGAAAGTGAAGAAAAGATTACTCTCATGAGAAACTCCTACGTCTCTAAAGGTGGTAGACACACGCTTATACAAGCTACTCTTGCAAATCTCCCTACCTACTACCTCTCTCTCTCTTCCCTTTGCCATCTAAAGTTGCTAACACCTTAGATAGCCTCTTTAGAAACTTTCTTAGGAAGGGCAACAAAGAAACTAATGGGATGCACCTAGTCAAGTGGGATACTACACAGCAGCCGATTTTGGAGGGGGGATTGGGCCTGCCCACCTTGAAATGAAAAACAAAGCGATGTTGGTCAAATGGATTTGGAGATACACTAAAAAGTCGAAGGCTTTGTGGCATGATGTGATCGAAGCAAAGTATGGAATCTCTTCTTGGTCCCATAAACCTATCACAACCTCTCTCCCGACAGGAAAAGGCCTTGGAAAGTGATTCTCAAGACCCAGAAATTGGTTTTCGATAGGCTGGCTTACAAAATCCAAAATGGTAGCTCATTCTGGAAGGTCCCCTGGTTGGTCAATGAGCCCTTGGAACACCACACACCCCTTCTCTTCGCCTTATCCATGAAAAAGGATGCTTCTGTTCGGGATATTTGGTCTGTGGACAACAATTGCTGGAATTTGAGGTTGAGAAAGAAGGTAAAAGATGCTGAAATTATAGAATGGGCAGCCTTCTCACACGAGCTTTCATCTGTTCACCTATCCACAGAGATGAACATTTTAACATGGAAACTTGAACCAAACGGCATCTTCACCACTCGCTCCCTCATAAAAGACCTCACACAACTTTGCTCGTATTCTCCAAGGCATCTGTATGAAGGCATATAGAGGGACACATATCCTAAAAAGGTGAAATTCTTCCTTTGGGAACTTAGCCATCGAGCTATCAACATCGGTGACAAACTACAAGAAGAATGCCCTATATGGCTCCCTCCCCCCATTGGTGTGTGATGTGTAAATCTAACAATGAGACCCAACAGCACCTCTTCGTCTCCTGTCACATTGCAACCAATTTTTGGAACCTCTTCCTTAGCACTTTTGGATGGGACACTACTTTGCCAATGGATCCCCCTCTCCTCCTTGAAGCTACTCTAATAGGACACCCATTTGGAAAAGAGAAAGCTCTTCTTTGGCAGAACTTTATGCGAGCATTCCTTTGGATCACTTGGAGAGAACGCAACCAACGCATCTTCAGTGACAAAACCTAAGAAGCACGGACACGGACACAGACACGGACACGACAGGACACGGCGATACGTCAATTTCTAAAAAACTAGGACACGGACAAGCTGGGGATACGTTATTTATTTATTATTTTTTTTAGGATATAGGTAARTTTAACATAAAAATGCTAAATATACTTCGCTAAAAAACATAAATGTCAAGTAAATTTATTGGGTTGAAGATGTACCCACTAAAAAGCATAAAAATAGTAAATGTAATCCACTAAAAAAATCCCAGAGAAGGATTTGAATTTGTCAAGTAAATTTATTGGGTCGAAGATGTACCCACTAAAAAGCATAAAAATAGTAAATGTAATCCACTAAAAAAATCCCAGAGAAGGATTTGAATTTGATTATTGGGTCGAAGTTGTCATCCTAATTTAGTAAAACATATTCTACTCCAGTTTAATTCATATGAAATTAGGGAAAAAAGAAAGTAAGAATAGAGCTTATTTAATTTAACTCACACAAACAGAAGGGTGGGTCACTAGGTAGCGTTTTAGGGTTTTTTTTTTTTGTAGTTTAAGTTTTTGAGATTTTAGCCAAACTTCTTGGACTTCCAAAATTGGGCTAAGGAAACAATATTTTTTTATCTGACGTGTCCCTCCCGTGTCCAAAACGTGTCCCCACGTGTCTGAAATTAAAATAAAAAATTTAATATTCGGACACTTTAAATTGCGTGTCGGACACGTGTCCGGAGCGTGTCCAGACGTATCCGTGTCCGACACAGACACTCCTCCTTTTTTGCCGTGTCCGTGTTTTATAGGACAAAACTCTCCCTTTTGATAATTTTTTTGAAAGTCATTACATGGTGTAAATCCTCCCCTATGTTTCACGACTATAGCTACATTTCCCTATTAGCTAATTCGGAGTGCTTTCTAATTTCATACATCAATGAAATTGATTCTTACACAAAAAAACAAAAAAAAAGTTGTAGTGGATGGAGTGAACTAAATGCTGCATTGTTTTAGTTATTTTTAAATTGTTTTGATGCTTTTAATTAAACTTTTCTTTTTTGCAGCATAAGTGTTATATCGTTGCTACTTGTGATCGAGATTTGAAGCGTAGGATTCGCAAGGTATTATCAAACAATGATAGTTGGCAGGCAACATAGGACATTAGGTTTAGATACGGTAACTGGCTTATTTTCTTGCAGGTTCCTGGTGTACCAATCATGTACATAACTCGGCATCAATATTCAATTGAGCGGTTACCCGAAGCAACAATTGGAGGAGGTAGGCTAAACATATTTAACTCATACAATAATGTTATCTTTTAGAATAAACTGTCCTGCAATGTTGTGCATCTTGATGTATCTTAATTTATTGGAATTGTAACTTCTAAATGTTAAGTTCGGTTCGTAAGTCCCTTTTAATTCAAAATAAACTGCCATGGCTTTAAATTCTCTACCTGGGATATTAATATTTTATGACTATTAAATAAAAGCTATTTGGTCTAGTAGTATTTGTTTTGAACTTCTTAAACATTGAGAAGCTGAGGGGTATAACATTTGTGGGACTCTCCCAAGGGGCAGGTCAGTTGGTAAGGGTCTCAAGTTTGAATCTTCTTATGAGCTTAATACAAAAGAGCTCATAAAAAAAATCTTTGATATTTCCCGGATTTGGGCCTTGGGCCGGCACAGATGGCCTTAAGTATAGGGGAGCAAAGCTCCAACTCCCAGTTCTAATAAAATATTTGAGGGACTATTATGGACACTATTGTGGTATAAAATTTTCTTTAGGTGCTGATATGCCCCCTTTTTTAGGATGAGTTATGGGGTTTTCAATGTTTTTCTTTTTTGCTAATTGATTTTACAGCTATTTTAAGTATTTAGTGACTGAACATTTGTAGTTAGAACAATTTTCTTGGGTGGTTTGGAAGAACGTAGTAGTTTACTCCTTGGAAGTTGAAGGTCCAATTTAAAATGTTTTGAAGAGTGTTATTAATATTTGACATTGGTTTTAATTGTTGATGCAGCTCCAAGGATGTGATTATGACAAAAGAAAGAAGACTTGAAGAGGTTTTTTCTCCCACCAACAAAATCTCTATAAGATTAAATTTAAAGAAAATATTAGGAGGTCTTGTTATCATGTAAATTATTTGGCATTAGGTGCTATTGTGTTGTCTCATTCTTTTTCAATTGTTCAACTCTCCTTGGGATTCGGTTTTCGAGAAAAGGTCCAATCCTTTAATATCATGATTGGGTGATGGGATAGCATCCCACCTTATCTTGATTGGTAGGCACAATCGCTTGAGTCTAGTTAATGAGTGGAGGAATAACTTTCAATGAAAAATTTTCTTTAGCAATCAGCGATCGGTACTCCTTTCTTGTCTTCTTTTCATCTCAAGTGGTTCTGCATACTGTTTAATGTTAAGGTTAATGCTGTATTTATACGATGTTAGATAGTAGATTTTTTTCTTAATGTATGTTGAAAGAAAGTTTCTTTTTCTTGAAAGTTTTAGAAGAGTTTTGAGAGTGTTTTCATCCAAAGAACTACCATCAAAAGTTTCTACTATATAAACTAATGTTATTAAGGGTTCCTGTTGACCCCTCGATGTTTATTTAAGCCAGACTTCTATAGACAATTAAAATTGGACAAAAGAAATTAAGTTGAGGAAAGTGGGTAGAGAAACTAGTGAGAGTATGTATCTTGTAATAAAGTGTGTATAAGATGTGGGTTGTCTT